AGAGAGACACACACACAGACACACTACACCCAGCACGCGACACTGAGTGGCAGCGCTACCACTGGCCAGCGTAATTAGAAGGGAAAGGGCCTTTATTAGCTATTGATCTGGCAATGCCTGGGAGTGGATGCGCTCAACACTATCCTACTTCCCAAAGCATTACCCACGAGGGATCATGGCTGATCTCCACATGTCTGAGTTTGTTTCTCATTCGAGTGAAAACCCAATAGCTAATGATCCTACTTGATCCAGGACCCAAGTCCCGGTGGGAAGCTTTCCCTCTCCCCACTCCAGGCAGGCAGGAGACCGAGTTGGGAAAGTAACACATGACCAACACGATCCCAAGTGGGTAGAAACAGGGTTCTAGGAGAAAAGGAGGAGGAGTTGGGTTGCCAACTTGCAAGGTCAGCAGTTCAAAACCACCGGCTTTAAAGAGGAGGCTTTCTACTCCCAGGAAGATCTGGAAACCCACAGGGCCAGTTCTCCGACGTTTGAGGGGGCGGCTAGAAGTCAGAATCGACTAGCAGGCAGCGAATGAGGCATCGGTGGTCAGTTAGACCCTAAACAAGGATGGCCCCCGAAACAGTTCAAAGCGTGAGCAACTCTTGGGAGACCCGCGGCAGGGAGGGCTGGGAGGGGATACAGAGCATCTGGGTCAGACGAAGAAGGTGCTGGGTAAAAACGGTTCTCTGCGGGCGCTTGTTCCAGGCAGTTAAGGCACCAGGAACGTTTGCACTCTGAAAACTCGTGTGAAGCGCCCGCAAACACCGGTGTCCAGTGGGGCCAGCCGTCCACCGGGTCGTCAAGTCAGTCCGTGAGGCCAGGGGGGGAGACACGGAAGGGGGGCCCCAGGCCCCGTGGGATGTAGCTCTGGACCCAACTTGGGGTGGGGTGGCGGAGACGGCACGGGAGGAGGAGTCCTGCGCCCCGAGCGGCTGTGTCATCGGGGCCGCGATCGGCCAGGGCAGCGGGAACTGTCGCCCGGAGGGCGAGGCTCCGCTGGGGTGTCGGGGAG